TCAGAGGGGCGAGCGTGGTGGGGGGCTCAGAGGGGCGAGCATGTGATGGGGGTTCAGAGGGGCGAGCATGGTGGGGGGCTCAGAGGGGTGAGCATGTGATGGGGGTTCAGAGGGGCGAGCGTGGTCGGGGTCTCAGAGGGGTGAGCGTGTGATGGGGGTTCAGAGGGGCGAGCGTGGTGGGGGCTCAGAAGGGTGAGCGTGGTGGTGGGGTCTCAGAGCGGGGATGAGGGTATGATGGAGGGTCTCAGAAGGGGTGAGCATGATGAGGTCTGGAACCTCAGGGGAGCATACCGATGGAGGAGCTCTGTGGAGATGATGATCTGGAAAGGGGAGCCCTCCTCCCTGAGTGTGGGGGGCGTCCAGCACGGGCAGCAAATGCAGAGTAACTCCGGGTATCCTCCAGGGCCAGGACCCCCACCTCGTTTGAGACTCTGAAACCCACTTTGTGGGCTGTGACCAGGATTTGAGAAACCAGAATAGGAAGTGTCTGAGGGCCGTATTCCCGCTACAGGGGCCTGTCCTGCGACACTTCCGTCTCACTCACACGCAACCGCGCTGGAGCCCGCGGATTCCTTGTGTGGGGTCCCGGCTCCAGAGGCCTCTACAGCGCTCGGGCACCGGGGGCCCGCACCCCACTCTCTGCCCGACTTCCCACTCCCAGGGAGCCCCACAGACCGCAGGGAAGGCTGGCGGGGGCTGCGGCGTGCGCCGGCCTCCCGAATGCCACCACAAGCTTCTTTCAGGTCATTGCAAAGGCAGTTCAGCGCAGAATGGAGGGCGCCTTTCCGCGAGGGTGGGGCAGCTGACTGATCCCAGCATCAGGAAGGAAGCGGTGCTCTCAGGTGCTGCTGCCCTCCCCCCACCTCCCCCTGCAGGAAACTCAGAGCCTCTGGCTGCTGAGCCCTCACTGTGAGGGCCCTTCTTCCTGCGCTCCCTGCAGGGGAGGACCACAGACACGCTGTTCTGCCAGCTCTCCGAGGGCATCTACCTGGCCAACGGGCACATGAGCATCAGCCTGGTCACGGCCATCGCTGTGGACCTACGTGGCTGTGCGTGCGGCACCCACTGTGCGCCCGGGGGCTCCGCTCCCCGCGGCAGGCCGCGGCCGTGCGCACGGTGCTCTGGGTGCCGGTGGCCAGCTTGCTGGGGCTGCGCTGGGCCCTGGGGGCGCAGGAGGGCGGCTTCTGCTTCTCCAGCAGCTCCAGCACCGCGACCTTCTCACTGCTGGGCTTCTTCCTGCCGCGGGCCGTGCTGGTCCTCTGCTCTCTGCGCGTGGTCACCGCCCTGGGCCAGAGGCCAACCGCCAGCCCCGACCAGGCAGAAGCGACCCGGAGGGCCACCCACAACCTGGCCGTGTTCGTGGTCTGCTTCCCGCCCTTCTGCGTGGCGGCCTGAACACCGCGGCCATCCGCTACGCCTTCTGCATCACGGGCGAGCTCTCAGATGCCAATTGCTGTCTGGACACCATCTGCTACTACTTCATGGCCAAGGAGTTCGGGAGGCATCTTCACTGGCCTCGATGCCCACTGCCAAGGTCCACAGAACCAGAACTCTCTCTGTGCGACCCTCGCCTAGGAGACCAGTCGTGGGCACGTGGGCCAGGTCCCAGGCTCTCTGGGAGGTCCTGCCTGCTGGGGCATCCCTGAACTCGCTGTGGCCACTGGGCACGGTGCAGGGGGCCTGGCTGGGTGGAGAGGACCCGGCCACAGACCCCGCGGTGGTGTCACCCCGACCCCTGGGATGGAAGAGGGTCGGGACCAGGGCAGGAGGACTGAGGCCTGGGTGAGGCCAATCCCAGGAGCCCTGGGACGGGGCCGACACTGCAGCGCCCAGAGTCCGGTACCCCTGGGCACTGGGGTAGATGCTTGCTCTGTGCCGTGAGGCCTCAGTGGGCAGCCTTCTGCTGCCGCTGCAGCGGGGCTGGAACAAAGCTGGCCCCAGGCCTGGCCCTGGCCCTGTGTGCGTGTGTGCACGTGCTCCCCACACTCATGGTGGGAGGGCTGGGGTGTCTTCCTAGACGGCTCTCAAGGGCTCTCTACCTGGGGGCTCCCAGCCATCTGCAGGTCTCGCGGGGGCTATTTGCAGCTCCCGGAAGGGCCACGCTGACAGCCCGCTTTCCTCCCGCCAAGGAAGGGTCAGGACCCCTCGACCCCCTATAGGGGCTGCACAGTTGCACTAGGCTGGGGGTGGGTTGGGGGCAGTGAGGAAGTGCAGTGACAGGCCAGGGTCTGTCAAGGGGCACACTCCCCTCGGGCTTCCTTCAGGGAAGCTGGAAGACCCTGCCCGGTGGCCTCAGGGCCTGGCAGGAGTGTGGATGCCCAGGCTGGTGTGCGTTGCACCCACCTCTCCTCGGCCTCCCTGCACTCAGACTGGAACCACCAGAGCCTTCTCGAGGCCCCCTCTGGTGCCGGTCCAAGTTGGGCCTGGGCACCAGACAGCCACCCTGTCCTGCTCTTCCGCCCGTGTGCTCAGAGCCAGAAGGGCAGCCCTGTCCGCAGCCCTGTCCTGGCCTCAGGCGCCTGCCGCTGAGGCAGTCCTCAAGTCCCCGGGTCAGGGGGCGCTGCTGAGAGGGGCCCATGCTCGGGGAGGTCCACACTCAGGGGATCTCTGCTCGGGGGTGGGGCACTCAGGGAGCGCGTGCAGCTCGAATCCACTGCTGTCCTAGCCTGGGGCTCAGATGCTCCCCCGCCGCCGCTGGGGACCCCCTCCCTTTATCACCTTGGGTAGGTAGTGCCTACCCTGCCCACCAACGTGCACCAAGGGCCGGGCGGGCCGCGTTCTGTCCTGAGAAAGCATAAAGATGGCCAGGCGTGTCCAGTGGAGCAGGGCTGAGAGGAGCAGGGCAGGTGTGAGCAAGGGCAAGGCTGCGATGGACCTCTCCCCGCCCCCCCGCAGGCAGACCACCTCCCTCTCCTGCCCCCATCCTGCGCCCCCACACAGGTGCCGGCCCTGGGACTAGGAGCCCCAACCTCCTCCCAGGCTCCCCACGACCCCCCACACCCCTCACCCCATCCAGTGCTCCCCACCCTCGTCCTCCTGCCGGCACCTCCTAGGCCGGCACCCGGCCTCTCATCACAACCCTGCCCTTCCAGGGGCATGCCCAAGTGGACAGTTCCTAGGCCGTGACCTCTACTGCCCTGACCCTCCAGGGTTCTCCTTTTCCAAGGGACCACAGACTCCGGAGAAGGTTTCTCACCGTAGGGTGGGATGACCACTGGGCTGAGCAGCGAGCCAGGGCCGGGTGTAGACGTCCAAGGCCGTCCTCGGCCAGATTTGGGGATCCAGGGAGAGAGGCAGAGTAGGGCCTGGGGCTCCGCTTCGCCCCCTGCCCCCCGCTCAGCATTGTGGGGGGAGGGGGACGCCCAGTGGCCAGTGTGGAGCAGCCATGGAGGAACAGAGCTTTAGACCAAAGGTTGACAGGCGGGTGACAGGAGCTTCCCAGAGCCTGGGTTAAAAACTCGGAACCTCGCTCTGGGCTCCGCGGGCCCTGGAACCTGCACAGGTCGGGGCTGAACCTGGTCATGTTTTTGCGTGCGCCCGCCAGGGCTGTCCTTGCAGGGGCGGAGGAAGTGAGGGTGGGCGGCGGAGACCTCTGCGGGGTCTCCTGGTGGCGGCCTGGTGCTGCTGGGTGGTGGGGAGGCCGGCCGTGCTCCGAGGTCACCAGCCTCCTGAGGTGCACGCTGCCCCACCTTGCCGGCCCCCGTCCATGGCTGGGAGATGGGATGTGCGCACCTCCGTCCCTCAGGCCTCTCCGGGCTCCCAGTAAGGGCAGGCGGCTGGACTTGCACGGACTTCCGGAAGAAACGAGAAAAGGAGCAGAGGCAAAATCACAGATGGGAAGCATCCAAAGAATGGACTTCTGAACCCGAATCATGGCCCACACACTCTGAGAGGCCTCTGGGCTGGGCCGGACCGAGTGGAAGAGCCTCTCCCTAACGTCCCCCACCCTGGCCCAGAGGCCTCAGGGGCCAGTCTGGCACACGGAGCAGGTCCAGGCTCACCGTTAATTAGCAAGCCACAGGCACCTGAAAGCGGATTCACTTTGCGGCTGCATCAACAGGAATATAGGGCCCAGAATGTGGGAGGGCACCGCTTCATTCTCCCCCCGCGAGGATCACACCTAGGGTATTTTTTCTGGCCAGGGACACTGGCCTGTAGCGCACCCTAGTCACCTGGGAGGGGGTCTGGAGGGTACGGCCGAGGGCTTGGCAGTAGCCAGAGGAAGTGTGAGCAGCAGATGAGTGAGGTGCTCCCAGAGGCAGGTGGCGTGTGCGATCTCCGAGGAGCAGACAGGTCTGCGTGGCTGTGGAGTGCAGAGCCACAACGGGGAGGGCCCCAGAGAACTGCCCAGGACCAGGCCGCGTCTGACCAGGTCGCTGGGTGAGAGGCAGGATGTAAGCGTCCAGGAATCTCCATACAGAGCAAGGTGCTCCTGGGGAGGCCACGTCACTTGATTCCTGCTAGGCCGTATGTCGTCGGCGATGTCTGGTGTCTCTGGCTCTTTCCTCTGGGGCAGTTTGCTTCTCGGTGAAGGCTCTCTCTTCCTGTCCCTGTTGGGGGTTGAAGCCTGGCCGCAGCAGGTCTCAGGAGAAGGTAGTCTGAGGGAGGCCAGCCATCAGCGGGCAGAGCTGCCCTTGGTCTCCTGTTCTCGGGGACCCACCTGCTGCGGTGCCCCAGAGGAACTCTTCCTGAGAACACGTGCCCATCTTCTACGGGGCAAGGGCGTATCAGCCAGAGACAGTGCTAGAGCGAACGGGGTTCTGTGGGGTGTGGGGGCTGCTGCCCAGCCTCCAGCTCAGCCCCCTGCAGCTGCAGGGCAGGGTTTGGGGCACCGCAGGGAGGGGGCAGCGGAAGGCAGAGTCGAGCCGACCGGAAGGTCAGTACTTCAGGAAACTACTGCCCCCATTTCCCAAGCTTCCAGAAGTCTCAGAGATGGAGGCTTGCACGCAGGGGCATCCTGGGGAGTGCTCTTGGGAACCCCACCCATAACGGGGCTGGCAAAGCGGACTGGGCCGAGGGAGCAGCTTCTGTGCCCGTGGGGTGCTCTGTGCAGAGAAGACCACGCAGCTGACCACACAGGTTACCATGGACGCGCTGCCTCTGAGGCACGCACCACTTGTTGAAGGCAAGTCTGGAGGGGCCTTGGGCTGTGAACTCTGGCAGCGCGTGCCTTGGTCATGACGGGGGGACCCCAGCAGCACCCCACGGCATCCACTACCACCTGCCACCCTGTCAGGCCGGGTGCCTGGACCCCTGAGCTGCAGCCCCCCGAGGCTGCGGGGGTGGGTCTCCGGGTCCTCCAGCCCTGAACGGGGCAGGCTTCTTGTCCGGGGTCTCCCCAGCCGGTGCCAGGGACCGTGCACAGGTGGGGGGCACCACCTGGCCAAAACGGGCCTCCTGGAAGCCGCACGCAGGCCCTCCTCCACCCCGTGTGAGGCCGGTCTCTGCAGGCTGGGGGCGCCCTCGCTCCCAGCCCTGAGCTCTGGGCAGCTGCAGAGGCGGCCCAGGGCTGTGGTCAGGAAGTAACGCTGTGCAGGGTGTCACGAAGAGCAGGCAGATGCAGAGAGAGCCAGGCACACAGCGGGTCCGGCTGTGCAGAGGGTGGCCCAGCCCAGTGCCCTGAGGCCCCAGCCATCCCAGACTGGTGAGTCCACCCACAGCCTGCCGTCCCCCTGCTGTCCCCTCCATGAGCCCTGTCCTGCCCTCACCCTGCTGGCCACCACAAAGGGCTCGCAGGAGCAGGGCCCCGGGCTGGCCTGCATCTGGCCCCGGGCTTCCCACGTGAGGACCGTGCCGAGCTCCAAGCCCAAGCAGGCATAGGGCAAAGGCTGAGGGGACAGTTAGCCTCTGACTGAGGTAAGATAGTGGGGAGGGGGGAGCAGTGGGGGACAGAGGTAGAGCCGGGGGACAGAGATGGGGAGACAGTGGGGGACAGAGGTAGAGCCGGGGGGACAGAGATGGGGCGACAGTGGGGGGCAGTGGGGGACAGAGGTAGAGCCAGGGGACAGAGATGGGGAGGCAGTGGGGGGCAGTGGGGGACAGAGGTAGAGAAGGAGGAGGAGAGAGAATGGGGGAGATGGGGGTAGGGTAGGTGGGAGGAAGGGGAAAGGAGGGCCCCAAGGAGGAGGGTAGACAGTGAGAGGGAGGGCAGAGAGGGGTGGCTGGGATGAGGGAGACACACAGACACAGAAGCAGGGAGACCAAAAGAAAGTCAGGAGAGAAGACAGGGTCAGCCTGGGGATCCCACTGCTCTCCTGATGGGCCGGGGGTGCTCCCTCTCTGCAGACTGGCCTGTGGCCCCTGCCAGAGGGGCATGGGGGCCCCACTCCATGGGCCATGGGCCGATGGTCCTTGGACAGGGCCACAGGATGTCAGGGGGCGGGGTGGGGGGGAGTAAAGTGGCAGAGGTCTTGGGCTGAGCTAAAGCCTCTGGTGGAGAAGCCCAGAGAGGAGCCCCCACAGAGCTCCCTTCCATGGCAGGGGGCCACTGTCCACACCCTGGAATCTAGTCCCTCTGGACGGGGCAGGGGAGGTGGCCTCAGTGGAGCTTCTTGGGGTCAAGAGAGGGAGGCCTTGGGGCTGTAACTGGAAGTGGGGGAAGGGGGGGGGGGGGGAGACAGAGAGCAGGGTGGTAGAGGAGGGGCGGGACCACAGCGGCATTTCCCTCCCTGCCCCCAGGTGAAGCTGGTCACCCTGCGTGGCCAGAGCCCCCACTGGCTCCCCACCGCCCGTCAGGCCGTGTGCCCTGATGGCCTCCGGGAACAGCTCTCATGACTGCATAGCTGACCCGGGCGGGCGCGTCCTGTCCCAGGTTACCAGGGTCTCCATCTGCTTCATCTTGGCTCTGGGGCTGCCGCTCAACGGCCTCGGGCTCTGGGTGTTCTGCTGCCGCCTGCGCAGGTGGACGGAGACCCGCGTCTACATGGCCAACCTGGTGGTGGCTGACTTCCTGCTGCTGCTGAGCCTGCCCGGAGTCCTGCACATGCTGGGCCAGGGGCAGGGGGACCAGGAGGGCCCTCTGTGCAGGGTTCTGCAGAGCTTCTACTATGTCAACACCTACATGAGCATGTGCCTCATCACGGCCATCGCCGTTGACCACTACACCGCCCTGAGCTTTCCCCTGCGGGCCCGGGCCCCCGCCAGGCCGCCCTCACCTGCCTGGCCCTCTGGCTGCTGGTCTTTGGGACTGTGGCCCTGGTAGCGTCCTTGCTCCCCGCAGACGAGAACTTCTGCTTCGGGCAGGGACATAACCGGGGCACCAAGACCCTTGCCTTCTCCCTGCTGTTCTTCTTCCTCTCACTGCTCATCCTCAGCTTCTGCTCGGGGCAGGTGCTCTGGCGTCTGCTCCGCGAACGCACGCGGGCACCGCCCCAGGAGTCTGGCCGCATCCTCAAAGCCCGCTGTGTAGTGGCCACCAACCTGGCCACCTTCGTGCTCTGTTTCCTCCCACTGCACGTGGCCTTGATGGCCAAGCTTGTGGCCAAGTGGACAAGTGCAGCCTGCCCCACCGTCCAGAGCATCACTGACTTCGTCCAGGTGGCCGCCCGCATGGCCAACGCCAACTGCTACCTGGATGCCATCAGCTACTATTTTGTGGCCACAGAATTCCAGGAAGAGGTGGGGGCCATCCTCAGAATGCCCTGGCCTTTCCGGGGACAGATGCGGGGCGCTCCTGCAGGTGACCACCCTGACCTGGCCGTCCGCGGGGGGCGGGGGGCAGCTGAGGAGAGCGATGCAGGAGGGGCCCCACACATGGCCCTGCAGCAGGCAGCTCAGGGCCCCCTGGGTCCCCCACAAGGCAACTCTTTCCCCTCCTCCATGGCATCCACAAGAAGGAGCCTCCCTGCTCACAGTGTGACTTTGGATTTATGAGTCCTGGAGATGGGGCTATTGCTCAGCAAGGAGAATTTAAGCAAGGAATTAAAGGATCACCACCAGATCGCCACCAGATCTTTCTTCTCCCAGCTCTGCTGGCTTAGCCCCTTGGGCTGCTTCCTTCGCAGCGTGCACCCCCTCCCCCAACCCCAGCCCTCAAGCTCCAGGATGCAGGGTGACCTTGACCTACGCCAGGCTGACCTCCAACCTCTATGCTCCACCCCTGCAGGTACTCAGGAAGGGAAGGACCCTCTGAGTACCCAGGTAGCACTCCTTGGCAAGTACTGAGGAGGGTGTTTAAAAAACCACATTTTTCTGTGTCACCTATAGATTATGATTAGACACCAAAATCTATCAAAGTTCCAAGGTCTCTCTTCAGGTCTGTAACCACTGCAGACAGAAACCCCTAGATCCCAGGGCTGAGGGACGCCAGGCTTTAAGTGTAGGGATGTTTACAGAGACACAGCCACTAATTAAGTTCAAAGACATTCCTTTGTAAAAAATGTTCAGTTGTGTTTCTGAAGAGCATCATAGAGGTCCAGTCCTTACTTTTGGGGTGCTTCTCGGGGCCCCTTGTCCCACCACACACTTCACACCTCCCAGCACCACTGGCAGCCCCCATCCTCCCACTCTGGGCCAGGCCCGTGGACACCCGCGGGCTGAGCTGAGGGGCCTGATGGCCGCTCTGTTAGCGGGGGACAGGAGGGGCTCTCCCCACAACACTTGGCCATCAGGATGTGTCCACTGGGCTGGGGCCCGAGGGCATAGCTGGGAATGGAGTTTCAGGATCAGCACAAACACCTCCACTGAGAAGCAGAGGCAGGAGACAGCCCTGAGGGACCCTTGCTGGAGACTGGGGTCCCCAAACTGGGCCCGAGGAAGCAGAAGGAGGTGCTCCCAAGAGCCTCAGGTGACTAGAGGGAGAATGGGAGACCCAGACCCCTGTCCCCTTCCCTCCACCCTGCTCCTCTCCCCTCTCCCTCTCCCACCCACCCCTGCCACCTGCCCCGGCCTCCTCAGAGCCGTCTGCCTGGCAGGGCAGTCTGGGGGCCCTCCTGGGCATGCCCCTGGCCACACAGGCAGAATGAGAGCAGCTGGCCTCCAGGCTGTGCCCCAGCTGGACCTGTTAGCTGCAGTGCCACCAGCTTCCAGGTGACGGAGATGCACGTCCTGACTCTGAGACAAAGCAGCAGGGCCCTGTACCTGCACAGTGGTCAGTCCCATTCTGCGAGCGCACCAATGCCCCGGCCTTCTGCTGCCTGCAGACCCGGACTCACGGGGCCTCCCCGGCCTCCCTGACCTCTGGCAGAGGCTCACCTTCCCCCCCACCGGCAACACACCCTTGTTCCGGTCAAGGATGGCCAGTCGGCGGGCCGCCAGAGAGGCCGTCTGTGTGGCCAAGGCTGACGGTGGCATCACTGCCCGTGGCCACCGCTCCAGCAGCCGTCCTGTCCGGGGCCCACGTGCAGAGCTTCTTGCGGTGCCAGGAGGCAGCCACAGTCACGGCCCCTCCGTCCTCTTGGGGCAGCCAGCTGGCTGACAGGGGGAAGTCAGGCCTGGGCCGCATCTCCCCCTCCCACACACAGAAATCGTAGGGCATGAAGTCCACCCTACCTGGTCTGACCCTGACCACCAGTGCACGGGGAAGGGGCTCGTGAAAGGGGACCCCACTGCTCTCCTGATGGGCTGGGGGTGCTCCCTCTCTGCAGACTGGCCTGTGGAGGCCCGATCCTCCATCTCCACCTGTCCAAGCACCCTCAGGGCAGCGGTGCAGCCTGGCTCAGGGAGGCAGCCACCCCCCTCTGAGCCCACTGGTGCAGCCACCCTCCCCGGCCAGTGCTGCCCTTCACCCAGGGAGCCCAAGTCCCACTCTGGGGAGATGTGTGTGGTGGTCCAGAGAGGTAGGGCTCTTGCTCCTTGGGGCTCCAGCTGTTGGCAAACACGTGGGAGGCACGTGGGCTCACCCACTTCTCCAGCACCCCGTTAAGGCCCCTTCCCCCCAGGAGCAGCCCCCTGGAGTCTAGCTTGCAGGGCTGATCCCTTTGAGACCCAGGCCCTCCCAGCCTGGGGGTAGTGTTGGGGCACAGCAGGCTGGGGGGCCAGCATGGGGAACAGGGAACTTGCCAGAGTCTCCTGAACACCTTGAGCATCGCTTTCCAGCTTGAGGCAGAAAGGGCTCCAGTGCTGACCTATCCACCAACAAGGTATACAGGATCTGCCATGTGGCAGATACTGGTCTAGGCGCCCCGAGCCTCACAGGGTCCCACGGAGGAGCGGGGAGGGGAGAGGCTGGGAAGTGGGCCAGGCTGGATCACAGAGGGCCTTGCAGGGGAGATGCAGGGCTTGGGGGGTGTTCTGAAGGTGGCGGGGGGGCGGGGGGCGCCCAGAGGGGTTTGCATCAGAGGAGTGGGGATTGTGGCCGTGCTGCAGGTGGGGGACTGGATGGCAGGGCCAGAACGTCAATGGGGCACCAGGGTGGCATGGTGGGGGCTGGGACTGTGATGGGTTCCGGGATCGGGATGGAGTGTCCAAGCCATCACGGGAGTGCGGGACCTCGATGACCGCCAGCCATGGGAGGCCTCAGTGCAGTGCTGTACAGTAGCGTGCCTAAGGAGGACGAGCGGGGCTTCCCGGAATTAGGGTGACCCCGTGCAGGCGCGGAGGGGTGTGAGGGCCAGGAGGAAGCGGGGGCAGGCACAGGCAGGGGACCCAGGCAGCGAGGAGGCAGATGGGACCCTCTGCCGTCAGGGAAGCGCTCTCTGGAGAAGGGGGCGGGACTGACCAAGGGGCCTGCTGTGTCCCCTCTGTCTCAGGGACACGCCCCCACCTCCCACCCCCAGGTATCCGCTGTGGCGTCTTTGCGCTTCCTTCAGCAGAGCTCTTCGGCACTGCTCCACAAGCCTTCACGCGCTCGCCCGCAGGGGCGGGGCCAAGCAGTCAGGGCCCCGCCCAGCCCGCCAGCCCCCTCTCCCTCCTCGCTGGTGGGTTGACCCGGGTCTTCCCCCTTAACGGTTGCGCATTGGGTGCGGCTGGGGTTGGCTGGCCCAATCCCTTGCTCTTCCCGAAAGAGAACGAGGGGCGGCCCTTAGCCCTGGGCGCCGGGGGCGAAGGGTCAGGTGCTGTCTTCCCGGACTGGGGAGACCCGCCACCCCTGCCCGACTTGCCTTCCCCTCTCAGCTGCGCCAGCCAGGACTGAGGTTTTAGGTAATCTATGGAGGGAATACCCAAGTCAACAGGGACGCCAAGGTGCAAACAGGTCGTGCGGGGTGCTGGGGGGGGGCAGGTGGTGCCGCAATGCCAAGCAGCCAGCGCAGGGCAGGGTTCTGGGGCTCCAGTCCTGTCCTGCGGTCCCCTGACCCTCCCGGGGGTCCCCCGCTCCAGGACTGGCTTAGTCTTCTCGGGCCGCTGTCACGGACACCGCAGACTGCGTGGCTTGGAAGCATTTCTCTCTCACTGTTGTGAGGCTGGAGGTCAGGCATCGGGGTGCGTCAGGGTCGGGGTTCCGTGCCTCCTGGTGCGGCCGGCCTTCTCACGCTGTCCTCACGCCGAGGGGCCGGCTTGCTCTGTGGGGGCTCCACCCTCATGACCTCTTCACCTCCCAAAGTTCCCCCCTCCTAATCCCATCCATCTCAACACGGGAATTGGGGAGGGGGGCCATTCAGACCCCAGCAAGGAGTAGGTGGTGTGTGTAAGTCCCCTGGAACTTGCCTGGCACACAGTTGGCGTCCCAAAGTGTTGGCATCCAGAGGGGACTGCAAGCCCTCCCAGACCAGCTGCACCTGGATAGTGAGGTGCCCACCCTGCCATTTTCCAAACTGAAACCTAGGGTCCCTGCCCTCTGGCCCGGTCACACCCAGCACACACCCAGGAGCACCCTGTCCGGTTATCTTACCAGCAAAAGACGGATCTATTTGAGAATAGCACAGAACGACAAGCCAGGACGACAGACCCACCGCAAGCCGCAGGCGAGTCCAGAGACCAGGGCAGAGGCCCTCTTTTATGGGGGGGCGGGGGGGGGGCGAGGGGGCGGGCCCTTCTAAACCAGAAGTCCATTGGAGTACGCTGGGAGCTGCGTGTGTAGCGGCTTCTCATTGGCTGGGACGTGACGGTCTCTCATTGGCTGGGCTGTTGTCGGGGGCGGAGGAAACCTTCCTGCCGCCTGCTAGGACCGGAAGGTATCCATCCACCTGCTCGGCCCCTCTCTTCCTCCGGTGAGCGAAAACCGCTCTAAAGCCCGGGTGCACAAGGGACGCCGTTTTGGACTTCTTTTAAGTCAGCATGACTGTATATAACCTTTGCTTAAACCACAAACCTGGTTTATGGCCCACCAAGCAT